CATAACTTTCTGTCCTTTATTTCACTCTGATGTATGATTTTGCACAACTGTTGTTGTTTTGCACATCACCTGTTACCTGTTGTTGTTTTGCACATTGCCTGTTGCCTCTTTCTTTTCTTACACAATTGTATTGTTGTTTTTTTGTACTACTTATTGTCTGAGAGCTAGCTAAATAGAATTTTGCTATGCCATATACTGTACCAGTGTATGAGTATATAACTTTAATTTGGTATATGGCCCCTCTGATTGATAGCTACTCTTTAAAATGAAATATCCCATATCTTCATGTAATGGGTAACATCAAAGTCTAGAGGGCTTTAAAGACAAAAACAAAAATTTAATTATAAAAACTTATTTACCCAACAGCCCTTAAGGAAATTACCAGTCATATCACTCAATAAAATAATAATAATATATAGTACAATATGGTGATATGAACAAACATGAGGGTCCTCTCCCTAGCTACAGTATAACAGTATTTGAGGGAATGTACAGTACAACAAATTGAGAAGTTATATTCAATTCATAGTACTTTAAGATTTTAACACAATTCTTAAAGAGCAGTGCACTCTCAAAGGCTGATTACAAAAATGTTTCAGCAGCGTAGCTAAATCCAATAATTAGATTAATTAAAGTAAAAATATATTCTGACTAAACTGAGGGATCTATGCCACCTACTTTTTAACTTTTCAAACAGAAGCTTCAGCTCTCAGAATTGCCTGGCACACCAGCTTCAGCTCCTAGCCTGACTCAGCAGTCTCTGTTTCTAGCCTGCACTTCATTCCACACTCTCTCTATTCACTTGTCACCACATCAACCCTTAAGTTTGCCGATCTGCACCACTTGCCTTACTGAGGGCTGCCCTTCTCAGCTCCTTTAGTTCCTTTTTCAGAGATCATGCTATTCAGGTTTTTTCCATACCCATACTTTCCAAACTTTTAAAATTATCTTCAAACCTTTAACATTACTGAGCCTTCAATCTCTTCTTTTACATTATTGATCCAGATGAATGGGTTGCTATAAAATGTTTGCACAACATCCATTTTCTGGATGCCCTACACTTGCTTAATTTCATGTCCTACATTTTTTTATCATCTCTTATTATGAAAACATTAGTAATGTATGAGCAGTAGTTCTTACACTGTTGCTATTTTATCACAAAAACAAAATAACCCATAATGATTTTTTTCCTGAAGGGTAAAATCAACACAATTCCATTTGGGAGATGATATTTCTTAACTGTGGGTAGCAAGGTAGCATAGTGGGTAGCACTGTTTCCTCGCTGTGCTGGGACTCTGAGATCAATACCAGACCTGGGTTGCTATCTGTACGGAGTTTGCATGTTCTCTCTTTGTTTGTGTGGGTTTCCTTTATGTGTTCTGGTTTCCTCCCACAGTCCAAAACATACTGTGAAGTTCATTTGCTTATGGGAAAATTATCCCTATATGTGAGAATGTGCATGTCTCTATGCATATCTCTGTGTTTTCGCTGCAATGGACTGGCAATAAATCCAAGTTGTACCTTGTTTTACTTTTTCTTACTGGGATAGGCTCTGGCTCCCCTTTAATCCTGAATTGGATGAAACAGTTTCAAAATGGCTGGATAGATGATTTCTTATCTTTCTTATAAACCACAAAACTAAGCCAAATGTTTGCACCTTACAAAATGTGTTAAATGGCTCAATAGTCTACCTACAGTAGGAAGGATACTGGAGTCATTATTGGATTTAAAGTTTATTAGGAATAAAATCAGCTAGAAAAATAATGTGAACAATAATTATTTTTTCTATGCTGCTGAATTATACAATGTGTCTCTCTCAACAGTTTCCTTAATTACCTTCACGATATAATGAATATAGATTGTCTTCAGGGACTTGCTAAATCAATATCAGTTGAAAAGATTGTTAAATGTGAGTAAGACGGGAGCCCTGGGACTCGCTTCTCTATGAATCTATGCTTCTCTTGCATTTTACAGTGATGATTAAATACACAGAAATATGCAGTATAGATGATGCATAAAAGAACTTTGTGATCATGTGGGTTGGTTTTCTGGTTTCCACACATCTCCCATACTAAATTCAGGGTGGGTTTCATTAGATATTTTTAAGTGTTCTTACATGGGGGACAGGTGTTAACAGTATTAACAGCACAGATTATTTAGATAGATAATACTTCATTAATCCCGTAGGGAAATTGATGTGTTACAGCAGTCCAGCCCAAGACAAGCAAAACAGACATCAGAATAGTTATAAAACAAAAGACAACAAAATAAATAAATAATAAATAAATACATAGGTGTGTGCAAAATGTGATGATCATAGTCACTGTAAAAACAATAAAATATGTGCAAAATGTGCATAGGTTTATACAGACTGATTGTCCAAAAAGTACAATGGAGCAAACATGCTGTCCATAGACGAGCAAATGAAGGGCTAACAGTCCTAGCCTAGGGCAGTGTTATATTTAATATATTTAAAAAAATTAGATTATTTATTATCATTTAGTAAGAAGATAACGATGTTGAATATTTCAAAATTGGACTCTTCCCAAATGACTCTCATTACCTATTCATTAGTTTCTCTGCTTTCCCCATGTGTCAGTGACCTGCACCCCAGGAATTAGAGCAAAGAGACCATATAGCTACAAGATGTGCAGCTGGCCAGTCTTTGCCTCCCGCTGTGGATCTTACGGCTGCTGTTCTGAATGCACGGCTGTAATACCTTCCACAATAAAATGAACTCAGGACACCAGGCCTGACCCAGAAAGAGCAATACATGAAACAGCTTTTCTTTCAAGAGAGGGCAGTTAAAACAGTAAAACTGACAATCAAACCTTTTTATCTGGAAAGGGATATAACTAAGGATATATACAAAGTCATTTTAGTGAGTCTTTTCTCAAGATTTGTAACCAAGCGTAGAGAAATCCACCAGATCCACAAGATTTGCTCTCTTGGTCATGATTAATGTTAAAATGTACAAACGACTACAATGGTCTTGTCAAAGAAAAAGATTTGGCACTATAAGATTACTTTGAGCTTCCAGATGTGGATAACTACCTCGGAGAAGCTTCACATTTGAAAGATAGCTGATAAAGCAGTGTAACTGATTATGAAACCTTTTTATCATAAAATACACACATACTATAGAAACTTATGGAAATTTATTACAGTAGGAAAAGAGAAATCGATCCACTGAAAGATGTTAACATTGTTAAGTGTTATGTGGACAAGCAGAGGTGTATCAGGAAGAAACCAGAAGTATGCTGGGGGCTCAAGCAAAGATGTGGTGAGGACAAGAAAGCTGAAGTCCTGAATGTACTTTACAGTTGAGATTTCTAGATTTCCATGGGAAAAGTTGAGTTACCTGTTGACAATTTGTATTCTTTTTGGACCCCAGAAGAACAGAGAATGTGGAATGCAACTCTGTAGCTGTCCTTCTACTGTTCATGTGGCCATTCCCTGCCTTTCTGTCGTCATCGGCAGTGTCCAAGGCTGGTTTATAAGACTTCCCAGAGCACAGGCAAAGATGGCTCATCTCATCTCCATCCAATACCTCTAGCACTTGAGGACAGTGCTGCAGTGCAACTGCATTGTCAATCCAGTGGCCCCTGCCAATGTTCTGAGCCATTCACAGGTCCCTCTCACGCCAGCCGGTACTTGCAAGGCAGCAGACGCACATGACTGCTCGCTCTGGTGAAACAGGCTACGGTCACTCGGTAGGAATTAAAGCACTATGGACCGTTCTACAGAGCATGAGGAAAGGAGGGACTGCTTTTTCTCCCCGAGTACAGACTTTGAAATGCCACACAGCAGATCCTGAAAGGCTCAGCTAAAACATGGAAGGGACTAAGGTTGTTGTTGTCTATAGGATTTGCTCTTTCCTTCTGTGCTTTATTTGTAGTTTGTAGAGTGTAGAGTGCGTGTCATCTACCTGCCTTGCCACAATGGTTTGCACTGCCTGTTGGAGTTCCCATACATGTACTGTAGCAAGAGTAACATTAGCATGTGAAAGCATTTCACACAGTCTGGCATTGTGTATCAGGGACTCTTCCTTAGACCTCTCTTTCTCCTCAGCATTCAGAAGCCATTATGTGTAATGGAGCAGAGGACAAAAGGGTCAATATGCAAAATTAGATTTGAAGTCTAGTCTCAGCATTTTTGTAATGGGAGCTGGGAGGGCCTTAATGGAATGTTTCTTTATTATTATTTTTGGTTATTGATTCATGGAGCATTCATGACTTACCTTGATACAGTCTCAGAGTCATAGAGTTGACTAAAATTGACCAAAAGTAGTTTTAACCTGGTAACCTTTCAGACTGCTGAAAATCTAGGAAACCAGGGAAGAAACCAAATCATTTATATGTGCAAATGACCCTGATGCCCAGTGGTGCAGCTGTGCAGAAAGGGTAACCAATTGTTGTGTACATTATCAAATAGTTCAGGTGGGTAGCTGTGTCAGTATGCGTAGGCTGCAAAGGAACAAGTAATAGGTTTATTCCATGCTGAAAAGAGAAGAAAGAAAACACAGTATTTCGGCTGTGGAGCCTTCTTCAGGTGTCTCCATAGCCGAAACATTGTGTTTTCTTTCTTCTCTTTTCAGCATGGAATAAACCTATTACTTGTTACATTATCAAATACTTATCACTGTACAGATATATATCTATTATGGACATGTCCATTAGATTTAAAAAGGTTTTTAAAACAGCAGTAAGCTTTTATAGGTGTCTTTTTAGGTGTTATTAGCATTAGCATTTTTTTCTATAGTAGAAAAGATCAAGATAAATATAAGGAAGATAACTGTACAGAAGATTTCAACATATGTTGAAACAACATATTTCAACATAGTTTAATAAGGACAAAGAAGTATTTTATAAAGTCTGAATAGAACCTTAAAACAGAAAAATACACACAAACCAGCCTAAAAATTAAGAAAACAATTCTAAAGGTTTCACCTGAGGTTTTTATATTTTTAATATAACACAGAAATGTCATATGAAACATAGTTCTTGGTTAATTTTACTGTTTATTTTGTATTTTTAAAGAATCCAAGATACAAAAACTGCAAATCACTTCTCTGTCCATAGCATTCGGAAGGTAATGTCACATGCCTGAAAAAGAAGGCAAGGTTACCCATGCTACTGACAGCCAAGCAGACGTTTGAAAATAACACAGAAAATATAAGAGAAAAAATAAGTAAAACGTATTTTGCCCATTTATGTGCAGCAAGAATATATACTGATATTAATTTATATGCAAAATTCTGTACAGACCTTTGTCCTTGATGAGTCTGTTAGTAAGTTAGTAAGACCTACAATGTTATTTAAGAGGCCGGGCAGTACTCTTCTTCCTGCTCTGAATGATTTAGCATGAAAGAGATGACTTGGTTTAGTTCTTGTTTGCACCAATGTGCAGCTCAATCACATACTGTAGATAAAAAATGCATTGTAATTGTTATTCTGTTTACATACTGTAGTAACCTTGTAAACAGCAATGATAAATTTTAGACTTCTTAAATGATCCTGTTAATTCCAAGTGCATAACATTATAGGCATTGGTGTTATCTTGGATTCTGCTAGGTATTCTTCTTTGGTGCTATAACACTAAAGAAAACAGATGTCTTCTGTTCTTAAACCACACAGGTACTTTTTGTGATTCACTGGGAATTAAATAGGGATATTCACCATGCAAATTCTAGAAAACTATTTTGACTAATCTTAATTCTGTGCTTAAATATTACATATATATGCATTTTCACATTTATATGTGTTAATATACATGACATATTTCTATAGCATTAAAAAATAAAAGCAAGAGGTTAACACAATTTCATATTCACAAGTAATGGTACAGATAGATTTATTTTGTTAGACAGGGTGGTCCTAAACTGGTCCTTGTGTGTCTTTTGATTTTTTTTCCAGCCCAGCTCTAAATCACATAAATCAGCTCATCACTGGCTATAATTTGATGAATTTCCCAACTTCTTTGAACACTTCAGGAAAAAAAAAACTTTAAAGACACAAACCTGCAGGCACACTTCAGGGACTAGAGTTGAACTGCCCTCTTTTGGTACGTATATCCTTAATAGGGATATTAATCAACCCACATCAAAATTAAAATCCATCTATCCATTTCTTTCAATTAAAGGTCACGGGGGAAACAGCAAACAGTGAGTGCAAGATGGGGTATACTGTGGATGGGACTTTAGTCCTTCAGAGGGCAGACACACAAACACAGACACACTCGCACTCATACCACGGTGAATTATACCAGAAGCCAATTAACCAACCAGTATTTTGTGGTACTGTTGGAAGAAACCAGAGCACCAAATGGAAACCCTCACACACATGGCAGGAACATACAGTATAAATTCCTCACAGATAGCAGCCCAGGTTTTGAATTGAACCCAGGGCCCCAGCAATGCAAGGCAGCAATACTACCCACTGTGCTGCTTTGCCACTGTGCCACCCACCAAATTAAAGGTATTTGATCTAATGTAGAAAGATACAAAATATGTGTACAAACATCTTGTTCCCTGTTTTTTTTTTTCTGCAGCAGCTATTCAGCAATCTCTTGCATACATGCAACATACAGTGCAGACATACAGTAGATCATTTAAAAATTTAAAAGCTATGGCTAAAAATATACAGGCACTAAAGTCTGCCTCAGAACTGTAAAGCATCTGTATGCATATAGACAGCAAAGAGACATTTTGTTGTTCTTCTAGCACATTTACAGAGACAGTCTATAAGACAATTAAGTTACATATAATCTTAATAACCTGAAACAACCAGGACCCAGCCTAGTTGTAGATATAGCTCATAGAAAACTAATGGTCTGCTTTCCAAATGCATGAACTTTCTACATCCTTCTGAGCTTCTGTCCTTTGCAGTATAAAATCAATGAAGCAATTCCAAGGCTGCAGTGATGATAGTACAATACATCTGTCAGCACTGCAATTAGCAGTTCTAGGCTTTAATCCCTTTGTATCCTCCTCCGGATATCTTCATTTTTCTCAGATTTTTTATATGCATATTCTAAAATTATCTTGGATAATTCTGTCTGGTTCTCAGCATATGTCATGAGCTGCAAAACATTTGCTGGCACAGTGCAAAATGAGGATGAACAACACTGGTACTGCCTTTCTTTCATTTCTTCAGATATTTTCCAAAACATCAAATGGTACAAATCCTTTCTTTTTCCCACTAGACACTTTAATGAAGCCATTGTTTTCGTCTTCGTTGGTTACACAAATCTGGAATGAAATAAAAGGGAGAAAAAGTAGAAACTAACAATCTATAATAATGTGGTTGTATTCCTGGCAGAAAGCTCTCAGTTTATAGCTACAGTACAAACTATAAATTCAACAAAAATTATGAGTTGTTTTTACCATGTGATTGCTAAGGGTTTATACTGTAGATGATCACTAGGGCAAATAAATAAGAATTAAAGTGAATTAAAAAAAGTATTTAGCTCATTCAGCCATCTTCTGGCAATACTGACCTTACAGGTTATTGAATTTTACCTGCATTCTGTAATTCAATTCCACCACTGGATCACTGCTGATACACAACTTCCCTGCTTCCAGCTCTATGTGATAGTTACTTTTCAAAATTATTTTTTATCTACTGTATGGTAATAGTAAACAAAGAAGTTGAAATCAAGTTTTTATAATAGGTCTTTATGGATTCACAGTGAACTGAGTCAAAGATTGATTGAAGATTATTTTTCTGGTTGGATCTGTTTAGAAATTAAGGTTAAAGAGTTAGGGTTAAGATTGAAAAAGCTCTAACAAGTCATGGAGTTCATCTGACTTAATCTCTGATCATGGAAAAAATCAATTTTTCTAAGTACCATAAACTCCTATTTCTAAATAACAGAAATGTTTGTAAGTTAATGATAAATTAAGCATGTAAATCAGTCAACTATAGAATTTGCCTGCTAGGGGAAATTAAGTTTGCAGTTTTGAATTCCCTAAAATTACTTATTTAACACATCTCGTGTTTAGTTCAATTGTTCTTAAGAATCTGATCAGCTGCTGTAAAAGCTGGTGGACTGGGGCTTTCCAGGTTCAGTGGTGTAGTTAACCTGCAAATAATACTCAGCATGAATAGAAATGCACATAGTTCTCAGATTGTGGTGGTTTTTCAGGGATATTTTGAACCTGAATGTGAACGAAAACAATTCAGAAATGAATTATGCCATATTTAAGCCCAGGCACATTCATTTTAGAAAAAAATGACCTTGTCATACATACTTCTGTTACAGTATACTCATATACTTCTGTGAATATGCACATGGTTTACCATACAGTACGTTGCTATACAGTACATGCATGCCACAGTAATTGTACTGTACACCTTGGAACAGTACAAGCAAATGTCAGAATTGATCACTTATTAATCCTAATCCCAGACAAAAAGCCACAGACCATATTTTAAGTATATTCTACACAAGAATGTACAGTACAGCTACCAGAAACGTGAATCAGGTAAAAAGGACACACCTGGCCCTCCTTTAGGGTTATCTGTCCTTGTTCCTTGCAGCCAATATAGGTTCTGGTGCATCTGTAAACTCTCTCACCAGCCCTCACCTGCTGAGCAAAACTGGCAGGAAAAAATCCGACTCTGTCTTCAATAACACCCTAAAAAATTCCCAAAGGACACTGAACATCATTCACTAAATTCAATCTAAGGCAGCATAATAGAAAGATGTACAGTTGCAATATGCAAAGTGAAAAAAGACAGTGTTTACTAAAATACTGAAAAACAAACTTCCACACATAATGCAGGTAATACAATACAATAATATACAATACAACAATACAATCTCACTATAAGGGTATATTACACTGGAGTTATGACATCTAACAAAACTAAAACTTTTCTATCCATGATCTCCATGTTCTATCCATGATCTCCATGACCGTAATTAACTGTAGTATCAAAACAGTGGTGCTACTGTATATTACAGTAATTAAAGAGGACAAAAATATAAGAATAACCGTTAACAGTAGAAAACATCCTATTTATTTTAGGAAATTCTGATTTTACATTTGCCAGAGCTGTGCCAGAAAATAAAGAACGCACATGCTATTTCTCATGTGCCTAAATTTTACGTGCTATTCAAGTACATTTTTATTTAACCACTCCCATTGACTGCGTAACAATAATAACTAACCGCTGTTAGTCACAATTTAGCTGCCTTACTCAACAAACAAACGTTTTTGTTATGTGATTAGTATTCAAACCTCTAGCTGGCCTTTGCCTTGATCCTACAATTGTTTTGCAAATCTGTATAATTAATACAAGTATAGTAGCTAGCTACTAAATAAAGCTGCAGTTAGAATATAATAAATGTAGTTGAATTTTAACAGTATCTATAAACCCTGACTTGGAGACAGCAGTTAGAAAATGGATGGATACTGTATGCACAAATTTGAAGCAGGCCAGCAAAAGAATAACTGAATTTACAAACAGCTTGGCACTGGAGGCCATAAAATAAAATTCAATATTTTATTCTTAAAAACTACTGATTGAATTTATGCTTGGCAGATTTCATCATGATCCACACCTACTTGCTGTCATACCTTTTGCAGCCAAACAGGAATATTAACATCTTATCAAAATGCTCCTGTACTGAATACTATTGCCACTGTACAAGCAAAAAGGAGGATTTTCGTCACATGTAAGCTGATTGGTTTTAAAAAAAAAATTCTAACATTCACACCTGTCTCCACCTTGCTCAGCTCAATCTGACAACGGATTTGCTGGAATGGGCTACTAAAAGGATTAATCAGGTTCACGGGAAGTAGAAGGCTTCTCCTCTTACCTTCCACCAGTCGTCATTTGAGTCATCCGCTAATATGATTCGGTCTCCAGGTCTGAAATGGTAAAGACACAATCTTAATCAACTGATGATTTTGTGTAAGTAGAATTACTCAATTCTACAGTTCCAGTAGCAATATTAAAAAGACCAAGCAACAGAGTCCTGTCATAGTTGCTGCACAAGGGTCAGTGATTTCTAAAACATCACGAATACGACTCATTAAGGCTAATGAGTAATAGAGAAACCTCATTTTACATTTCAACATTAACAGTCTACATTGACAGTCTCTCTTGGATTTCTATTTTGTGCTGTCAATGGGGAATGGCCTTCATTTGGTTGATATATTAAGTTATGTATTTAAATGCTAATGAGATGTTTTCCATGAAAGAGAGATTTTTCCCCTGCATTTCAAGACAAATTATCAACATGTGAGATGTGCACACTTGTCTGTGTTGTCTGCTCCAGTGAACTGGGCAAAAATGTCACATAATACATTTTTAGGTAATGTAAGCAGACAACCTGTTGCCCTGTTTCAAGCTACATGTAATGGATCTTGTATATCAAGAGATTTACATAAAATCCATAATGAACTTATATTTTAAAATAAAAAAAAATAGAATAAAGGACCTGTGGTTTTATAAGTCTTATAACAATGCTATGGCGGTGAGCTCTATAGCTTTACTAATGATCTTGATTCCTACTTTAAGAAGGGGTATTTGTCTATGTGACTTTGAATGTTCTCCCTGTGTTCATGCATATTTTTTTGCTAATGCTATGGTTTCCTCCAGTCTTCCAAGGACATGCAGTTTAGGTTTCTTTCCTACATTGTTCCATATTGGAGAGGTTTTCATTGGGTTTAAATGATTAATTAAATGATTAATGATTGGGTTTTAATGAATCCAGGGTTGATGGAGCTGTTTGCATGATGACTATGGCACTATATAAAAACAAAACCAAGTGAGCATTATGGATCATACAGTATAGTGTACTTGCATTCCTGACTAGTTCTCATGTTAAACGAATTAGTACAGTACGGTGAAAGTCCTTAGTTTGCAGCACTTGTATGACACAGTAGTTTCCTACAGTACTGATTAAGCCACCTGTTAACTTACTTATTAACCGTCTTGGATTTTTCCAGGAAAAACTTAATAGAAATATGCATGTAAGGCTATGTTGTTAAGCTGCCATGCTACAATATTCAAATGGAACTGCTAATAAAATTTCACTCCTGTTGTAATATTAATGTTATTTTTAGATTGAGTCTCTCCAATTTGGAATAGTCAGTTGTTGCTTTATTTATTTATCGAATATGAAGTATCTGAACTTCTTAAAAAATATAAATTTCTGAATAGAAATATATTATACATAATCCACATACTATAGCTGGTAATAATAATAATAATAATA